TCAAAAATATTTGTAGGCACAGCCTTCTTCTAAAAATTATCGAGATACTGACTTTTTAACGTTATTTTATCATAAATAATTAAAAATGCATCGAACCTTAAAAATCGAAATATCTCAAAAACGGCTAACTATAACGAAAATTCACAAGAGAGCTTTTTTATGTTGAAAAGTACGAAGAATCAGTTTTTTTATTCAAAAAGCAAAAAATTGTACTAGGAAAAATTTTTTCGGTCATTTTAATACACTACAGGTACAGTAGAGAGTGCCCTCTAGCGGCTACAGTAAAACTATGTCCATGGTTCGTTTTGTCATACCAGAAAACCCTTGTATACCAATTTTCACTGTTATGCATCGAATATTGTTCGAAATATTTAAAAAAAACTATTTTAAAAAGTAAATTTAAACACCCTGTATTTCGGAAGCCACGCATTTTTCGACCCATGTTTATATAGACTTTATGCATTAGTTTTAAAAGTTCTATCGAATCTTAAAGTTATGCAACAATAAACTGAAACACCCTGTATATTTGCTATCAGTGGAGCTTGGCTAACAGAGCTCATCCCTTTAGAAACTGTCATCATTGCTGGCTACAAGTTTTTCCGTACTGACATAGCATGCCGTTGTGGTGGGAAGTTATATCAAACCTTTGTTGAATGTGGAGTTTGTTGATATCACATATTTGATATCACATATTTTTTTTATAAAAAGTTGTATTGTTCATGCAAACACATTCGATTTAAGCCTAATAAACGCCTTTTCACAATCTTTGTTGCTGAATAACAACGTCGCCTACATAAATTAGTGTACCTATTTTATGCGCCCAGGTTTTAAATACGCCCTGAACAACATGCATTAATAAACCATTACATTTCGGTTAAATTTGCTCATACAACTATTTATAGCTATCTTATAGAGGCTGAATAAATCCGTTGTTTCCTTTTAGCGAAACTGTATCTATTCAAAGTATCGTTGCACATCGAGAAAATAATATTTCCTCACTTTCGTTCGACCTTCGTATGAGTATTTAACCCATTCCCTAGCAACAAAAGAAATGATCTGTGAGTTGAAACATCTAAAAGTGTTTATACATAAACATGCTTGCATATAAAGAGAAAATTAATTCAAAGGTGCCCGTCAAACGTGAATCAACTGGTTATAATCTTTAAATTCTGGTCAATGGTGGCTACTTCGGCATACAGTCTAGTACAGTCGGTTAGTGATATCTAATGAAAATATTCTGGAATATATAAGCTTTTTACGGCAGGCGACGAGGAAATCTCAAATACGAGATGTTTTATTGATGTTACGTATACACCACGAAAAGAAGAGTCCGACAGTAAGTAATTGATGGTTTTTGTGATATCTCCCTTGTCTTCCCCATTGGGTTACTAAGAAAGTGGCACTACAAGCTTCTTTCTATTTTGCACCTCTTGCATAGGAAGTTTCATACAATTTCTATAGGGTGTGATCTGGACAGGTAAAGAGAAGTTATAAAAAGATCCATAATGTTTTATACTCAATATTCCTCCTTTAAACACTTCACTTGTTTCCTAAACCTAACTTGATTGGTAAAGATACATTTATAGTAATGACTACACTAAATGGCTCCACCTTAGTCGTGGAGGGACTGACGACGGAATTAGTTCCAGACAAACACGAGTGAAATGTGGTACATTCCCTACTCAATGATTATCGCGGAAAAATGAATAATTACTTATAATGTTCTGTAGCTTCGGTACGTACTACCGGTAGCGATAATTACAGAAATGTGGAGGTTTAAACCTGTTTCCTGCCTTACGACTATGAGTAGTTTAAAAACAGATGCCTTTAGAGAAAGGGCATCAGTAATGAGGAGTATAGGACTTGGTATAACGTATCACTTTCAGAAGATATGGTAAAAAGTTCGGCAAGAAACACGATCCAGTATTTAAATCTGTCATAAAGTACCATTGCTTGGATTAGCGGCATTCCCAAATTTTAGGCCTAGGGGAGATACTGAAGTGCCATGCCAGTTCCAAGGGGCTCAGGTTTCCCCTAGCTAGGTAACGGTTTTGCTTGAATAGGGTTGTTAAAAATAAGTACATTCTATCAGAAAGAATAAGTCTAAGCCATGAATATAATTCGGAAATGTTTTTCCATCTGGGGGTGATAAGCTCGCTTACCCCCTCCCCTTGAATGAGCCAGTGACTCGAATCAACATAAAGGAAGGTAATTCAACGTATCTGCGAATACTCCCATAATACATCACCTCAATCCACATTTATTTGTAAGGCGGTCGATATTTTTGCCTCCGTGTCCCATATACAGAGCTTCCTTCCGTAATTTCGCCTGTCCTTGTGGTCTCTAGGCAAACTGATTCTAGACTAGACTAATGCAACGCTTGGTTTTCTCTATATGGTCGGTTCTTTATTCGTGAAATATCAGTAAAAAAGGAAATAAAAAAAGATTCTAGAACAATCCAGAAATTAGTGAAATATCGTCTTTGGGAAGACTATATGGAAAAGTCATAAAGGAAAAGATTGAAACAGATATAAGGGAATAAAACTGAAGAAGATCAAGTAGGGAAATCATGTTTAGCACTTATACGTTAGAACAGCTGAGATAGATAGAGAAAAAAGAATAGCGAGGAATCGACAAGTCCCCTTAGCATTTATCAACCTCATGAAGGCGTAGAATCAAATTAGGGGAAGCAATGATTGAGATCTGAGTCTCAGAAATACTAACAAAAGCAATAAAAGCACTGGAAACAAATTATATAATTATTGCAAAGCATTCCGCACATTATTCAAAGTATTCTTGGAAAACACTCTGAAACCATGGAAAAAGGGCGAAGGAATGAGCATACCTGGGTAAGGATAAATATTTATATACCTCAAGTGTACCTGACGATCATCACACAAGACGAAGACGACGTCAGGTTTATGATTAGAAATTTTCAACAAAGGTACGGAATAGAGATAAACTTAAAAAATAAACTGTGAATGAAACTGTATTCCCAATGACGGAATTTAAGAACGTAAGAAACCTGGAAATAGATGAAGGAAGGCAAATCAAAGGAACAGACAAATTTAAATACTTAGGATCCATAAGTGAAACAAAGGAACCACTGAGGCAGATGTAGATAACAGATTAAGACAAACACGAGACTGTAAAGTCGCTTGAACTCGGTGATGTGGCCTAGCAACATTACTAGAAAAACAAAAATGAGAGTAAATAATGCCATGGCAAGAAATAAAATAAAAATAGACTGCGGAGGAATTCCTAAGAAGGAGTTGTAGAGACACAAGAAGAGATAAGGTAAAGACGAAGAGATCAAGAAACGAATGGAAATGAACTACCACATAATAGAATATATGTATATAGTTGCAAAGGGACTAACCTGATACGAACATGACTGAAAAGCGGGCTTTGGGACGCTCGACAAGCAGAATAACAGGGTGGAGCCCACTAGGAAGAAGAAATAAAGGCAGACCAGGGTTTTCTTATTGCTGTGCTTAGTAAATACGTAAATGCGCTTAGCTGCATACAAAAAAACGTTGTGCGCCTGAATACGGAACAATGTTTCTTGAATTACTATGATAAAGTATCAGCCGTTATAATAACGACAGTGTATTCCAATCCATGTCGCTTGTACTATGATGTCTTCTCCGTTTTGAATAAGCTCATCTTGAAACCAAACTTTCATACAGATTGACTTACCTTATTTGTATTCATTGAGCACAAATAAACGAAAATGTTTATAGGCGGCAAGAGGTGTTTGACCATACATGAGAATTCCTTACATAAAAATATTTAAATCGGACCTTTTCCAGAAATATGCACATTGCATTACATTTATCAAGAATATAAATGGTGATACCGTTGAGTATTGGAGTTGAACTATTGGCTTTTATCATAGCACATTTATACAAAAATTCGTTATAACAGGTTGTTTAAAATAATACCATTTAGTACATAAGATATTGGTCCCCTAATCTTAATGACCTTATTTACATGAGATACATGTTGCTTGTTGGATCTAAAGAAGCAGAAAAGGAGAAATACTAGTCACATTCTACATATTATTATCTAAATTGCAACCTGTTAATAAGCATTGAGGGGATATTGTTATTATGGCTACTCAAAAACATAGTACATAAGATGATTGGAGAGGCAAAATTACTGGAATTTTGAAGGCTATTTTTCGTGGTATTTTTAACAGACAAATAAGCATAAATAAAATTGCTTTGACAAACAAAGTGCAAAGTAAACTAAACATGATGCTTTCGTCCAACTGACCAAAAGATAGCCAACCAGGGACAGCTGTTTCGTGCTTCTTGGCTACTCATCAGCTCAATGTTCATTTATTATGTACTAATATTTATTATTTATTTTTATATGTACTTCGATATCATCTAATTTAGGTCTTAGATATACACTATTATTATTATAGCGGTCAACTTATTCTCATAAAAAGTTGTGTATTATTCGTTGGCGATTTAATAAATAGTTTATAACTCACTGATAACTAGGAGCTAAGTTATGAATCAATAATGGGTCCTTAACTTTTCTATAAACGGGAGCACTAAAGTGTCCTTTTAAGCAAAATGATATTCACTTTTTTATTGTAAGCGTCTTCCTTATAATAAACTCATAAATTCATGTAAAGGAGGGATAGTTTAGCCAGAAAGCGAAATTCTAAATAGCTAAAAAGGTTTTCTACAGCATCAAACATCCTGCTCGTACAATCACCGAACTGAGACAAAAGCTTCAAGAAATATGGGATTGTTTTACACCAAATTTTTGCCAAAACTTGGGTAACACTATGCCTCAAAGAATTTCAGCCGTAATAAAAAATAAAGGTGATGTTACCCAATGGTAATCTTTCAATTGTTGCTTTGTTAACTTCGCGCATTTATTCGCACATTGTTTATTTGTTCAGATGTTCTATTAGTTACAAATATGTATTTTTTACAACTATGTCTTTGAGAAAATAAATTGTTTTAGAAGTAAATAGTTTCGTCATGTTTAGTTGATAAAGGCATATTTTGGTACAAATCTTGAAGTGGGCCAACTGAAGTGGAAAGGGGCTCGTATTTATATATATGGTCAATCTCACGGATTCATTCAGTATACATAAAATAATGATCCCATAAAATGTCAGCACTCTCTGTGGAGATGTATTTATCTATTTTATTTAACACCTGGCTTACAATATATCACAATACGCTAAAAAAGACAAACATTCATTTTGTAAAAGATGATATTGGAAACAGCTATCATTTTCTAAACGAACACTAAAAATTTAGGAGTTCAGGTAATAGTATTCATAGAGAATTGCCCCCTCCCCTGTATCATAGAATTATACCTTTGGAAAGCCGCGCTAAATTTACTGTGTTGTATATATACTGAAAGATTAATTTATATTTATTTGTTTGATAAATGATTATTTTTTAAGCCTACAGTATCTTTTTCAACTAAAGGAATTAATTACTAATTGTCAAAAAATTAGTGCATTGGTTCGAGAGTTATTTAAGAAGAATTAGCTAACTGTACCGTTCTTTAAGGATATGTATATATCTCCCTGAATCCTAAATATTCCCCACATATTTCAGGCCACTACTGAACTATATTTATCTATTATTATATTATTGTTATATCTTAATAAACTACCTTCTGTTTGTAATTCTGCATAAAATACACAATTTAAGTAGATGCACAGTCAATACTACATTTGGCACTTGTAATAACTTTTTTATTTATCTGAAACAAACAGGAATACATAGTTATCGGAGTAGAGAGAGTTAGGCATCAGCACCAGCGCGTAGAATGGATAGATGGATGCACTTGGACATCTCGAACGCAGTGTCTTTGGGCGAATCCTTCTCCGCAACACATTTGTCCATGATGGCTGATACTTCTCCCTCATCCTTCACCAACTCGCTCAGTACTTTCTTCACAGCTTCTTCGTTTATTTTACCCTCTTCCGACATGCTACCCATCTTCTTGGCGAAGCAGAACATGTGTTCCTTTAGTTTATCATCGCCCTCATCGAACTCCCCGTTCCATGCCTTTTCCACGGCCTCTTTGGTAACGCCACTTTCAGAAATACATTCTTCACTCAATTTCTTTACCTTTTCCTCATGTTGTTCCATCAGAGCAGACTGAAAAACATGAAGATTTAAACTATGTCACACAGACAAGAAAGTTATATGGAGGATAGTATCTCTGCCGTTCCTGTAGCCTTAATCCAAAATTGAAATATTAAATTATATAAAAGTTTTTCGACGAATAGTTGACTCAGCCTACTTAGTGCGGTTTTTCGGAATAATAATAATGATAATACTAAATCGCCTTTATCACGGGGCTAAGCTTAGCTTAACATTTCTTTGCTACTTAACCCCAAAAAAATTGGGACAGAATGCAAAAAACATTTGATCAGTTACAACAATTGGATTAGTGTAGGCGTACAGGTATAAACATATACTAAGTGACATATAAATCCGAACACCCAGTTTAAATGGTTTTATTTTAATAAAACTTGGTGAATGTATTTATCTTACTGTAAATAACAAGTGAAAAAATTTTCAGCCTTATCAGTTGGACATTCCGGTTTTTATACTGCTTTTTTTTAATTCACTAACGCTCTAAAAATGAATATTTCAGCCGCAGTAAAGAATCAACGTTGGCGGATTTTGGTTCTTGACATCCTTTTTCGATCGGTTACGATGCCTAGAGTACGGAGACCTGTACGATTTCGTCAACTTAGTGAGTTTGATAGAGGCCGTATAGTGGGACTTCGGGAAGCTGGACATTCTTTTCGGGCAATTGCAGTTAGAGTGCAAAGAAGTGTAGACACTGTGGTTAGGTGTTGTCAGGCATGGCTTCGAGAAGGCCGTACGCAAAGAGCAAGGGGCACTGGACGCCGCCGTAGAACAACAGACCGTGAAGATCGCCGCCTAAGATTATTGGCCTTAAGGGACCGTTTCTCCACTACCAGGTCCATTGCAAATGAATGGTTTGCAGAACACGGAAGACCTATTGGCATGCGAAGTGTTTACCGACGAATGAGAAGTTTTGGCTTGTTTTCATACCGGCCACAATGGGTCCTCCCTTTAACTCGAGAACACCGAAGTAATCGCCTTGAGTGGTGCAGGCAACGGTCACTCTGGGATCAGGAATGGAACAGTATTGTCTTTAGTGACGAGTCTCGATTTTGCTCAGGCATGCACGATGGTCGTGCCAGGGTTAGAAGGCGACGTGGTGAAAAGAGGAATCCACAGTTTTTTATTGAAAGACATGTTCATCACACTGTTGGAGTTATGGTTTGGGGTGCTATAGCTTATGGTTCCAGGTCACCTTTAATCTTCATCAGAGGTAACATGAACGCGCAGCGTTATATCCACGAAGTTCTAGAACCCCATCTTTTACCCTATCTTGACACCCTAGCAGATCCAACTTTCCAACAAGATAATGCCCGACCACATGTTGCAAGAGTCACAATAGACTTCTTTCAACATAATGATGTCACATTGTTACCATGGCCACCAAGATCTCCCGACTTATCCCCAATTGAGCACGTGTGGGATATGATGGGTAGGAGATTGCTCAATTTGCAACGTCCTCCTCAGACTCTAGAAGCACTTCGAGAGGAGTTGGTGGGTGCCTGGAATGAGATACCACAGGAGGACCACCTGATCAGAAGCATGCCTAGGCGCGTTGGAGAATGCGTAGCACATCAGGGTGCATCCACACATTATTAAAGGTCAAAGGGCTTTAAAGCAGAGCAATCATTTTGAAATTTTTATCATTTACTTATTATGCTTCATTAAGTGCTTATTCAAAATTTTATTAAAATAAAACCATTTAAACTGGGTGTTCGGATTTATATGTCACTTAGAATATTTACAGCAGCTGAAAATTTTAAGACCTAAGTAGTCGTCATGGTGTCTTCAAATCGATAACGCATCATGGCATCGCACTCAGATAACTCAACATATTTTTTGAGGAAGCTGAAATCCACTTTGCAGCGCTGACAGCGAAAAGAATGAAGAGACATGGTGGAGCGTATCCAATATAATGGCAATTTTTTTGAAAACTTTTGAAACTTATGTTGTATTCTACTTGCAATCTGAACTAACAAAGAATAATTATACAAGAAGTAACATGTATTCAGGATCAGGATCAGGACTATAACGTTTTGCGACAATGATAAAAATATAGTATTACAGAAATTTATTTTCACACGCATACTAAATGTTTGATAACAATTAAGCGTTAACTTTTTCAGCAGACCTGCATCCCGTTCCGTGTTATGCACCGCAAAAACTAAAACTATCGATTGTAATGTGTCCTCATACAAGACAGTGGTACGGATTTTCCTGATCCATGAAATCTTGAAACAGCGTATTATCACAACAAAACTATTTTCATAGAAGCTTATAGATAACCAATTGTTAGAGCAAATATTATGATATACTTGATACAAATGGATTACCTTCGCACTAATGGTGATTAGCACTGAACAAACGCAAACTGCAAACAGAAACGACTTCATCTTGTTAACTTTGTGATTTTTTTACAAATGCAGCTACTCTAATCACATTAACACCTTATATAAGCTCAATTAAACCCATAATTTCTATTTATTAAAACTGGGAGGACGGTACTATCCAATTAAGATCATCAGATATCGTTACAATGCCATATATCCGTTCAGTGGCGTATATGATAATCATCCATTATGTTTTTTGTTTAATTGCATTTTTAATTCATATAATTCTGACGGAACATTCACAGATTTCCACAGTCAATGTCAAAACCTTTTGATTCTTAAGATTATAAGCTGGTGGTGTCAGCAGATTGATCTGTCATTTTCCTACGCATTCCTACAGTGATTTTCAAAAAGGTGCCTTTCCTACTCATTTTTTTGAACGGATGAAGTTAGTAACCTGAAATTCGGGATGATGAAATTGATAGCAGTTGAAAATTTCAAGATGGCGGGTGATTGCCATCGTTCTATATTTTTTTAAATATAGCGGTGTAATCAGATCTTTCAATTTGAAGTTCTTTATGAGTGCTTTACAATCTTGAAATATAAAATCGCTATGTTCCAAAGAGTCAGACTGGATTTTTTTAACATTATTTTTTTTGAAAGGGCCTACCCTAAGTGCAATAAGATATTAGACATTGCTTTGAAAAAAAGTAAATTTTGACATTTTTTACAAATGAAATGTTGATCAGATGATTGGTTGTTGACTTGTAGGTAATTCATAGTAAAAAACGGTCAACTTTGACAGCCGGCCAGTCTGCCATTTTGTGAGAGAGTGAAGATTTCATTTTAGGGTTGCAAATTATAGAGCCCAACCATCACCGATTTGTCAGCTGGATGAAAATTATTTCTGACGTAATAGCATATGGTAAAAAAGTGTCGGTAATACCATTTTCAATTAAATATTGAGAAAAGGTCATATTTTTATCGCCAGAACCCACCCATCATTAAAATTATATATAATAATAATAATTTTCTTTATTGGTTTAACCAATTTGCACATTGCGTGCTCTTCCACTCAACCTTACAAAGACCCAAAAAAATGTATTAATAAAATAATGAATGAGTTGAATGGTCTAATCAATAAAAAATTATAAAAATTGAATATATAAGTTATGACATTTCATTCTTGCTGTTTTTTTTTTAAATAAAAGGTTTGATTGTCTTCTTAAATGGGAGTTCCCTCAACCCCAGAAACTCCTCAGGGATGTTGTCATATTCCTTTGCAATTTGTTAACTCCTTTCATAAATAGTGGTTTTATGGGTAGGAGGAGTGATGAGGAGTTTGGATCTAATATTTATATTGTGGACTTCTGTTCGAAATTTTTTTTTTAGTTTCTAAACATTTTTCCGAAATGTGATCATATTTTCTTATGCCATGAATAAACCAACACAAGAATTTTGAACAATCTGAACTTTTCTGCGACTTTCTACACCAAAACTGCTATGGTATATAGGTGAAAGGTACGAGAATTGTGACAGTTCAAGACTTTCACATATACAGTTTTTTTAGAGTCATAATTTAAATACTTGCGATGCGGATACATGATTCTGAGTGAGGAATAGGCATTTTTTATATTTGTAAGCACCTTTTTTCGGAAACGAAATTTTGAATCGAGTATTAACCCAAGGTTATTTCCTTCATCTAATGGTTTAATTGTGATGTTGTTAATTGTGACACTGAAATTATTTTTGGTTGTTTCTCGAACTCGATTGGGACCAAATAAAAGAAGAGTGGATTTTTAAGGATTTAATAATGAAGAATGTTATTTTAATATACATGAAAGGTTATACAAGTCATAGTCAATTTTTTGCTTTGCAAGCTGTACATCATCAAATTTAAATTTGTAGTATAACTGAGTATTGTCAACGTACATATGCATTTTACAATGATGCACATAACGGTGTAAATATGAAGTATAGATAGTAAACAATAATGGTCCAGTTATAGATCCCTGAGGCAGCCCTGACCTTACAAGGGTAGAATTTTAGACTCATAAGCAGTTTTCTTCAACGCTCTAGGTTTACACATCAGATCCAAAAATTAGTCGTAATAGTATAGTAGTAGTAGTATAGTACAGTAATATGGATCCTTTGAGGTCAATTCTTCAGGCTTGAAAATAATAATCCGTGATCTTGCTTATACCTTTGTGGATCAAAAGATACATGGGACGAAAGCATAGCAAATCGTTTTTGAGTTCTTGCCTTGGTTCTTGTCCCTCCAAATACTGTGCGGTCATGATAGGTCCGTATCTACAAGGAGTAATAAAAGTAACGAAGCAGTTCTGTATGTTTCTAGCTAAGGCATTTTTGAAAAAAGTCATTACTAGCTTTGAATACGGTAGTGCACTTGAGTTTGACCTTCAGCATCACCTTCAAGGCTATAATATTTTCCCTTTCCCGCTATCGCCTATTAGGGAGGACATTCCCGTGGCTTCCGCTTGAAAAGTATACCTAATAGGGTACGGATTTCTCGATTAACGAGTGGCGTGTTAGCTTTTTTGGTTTACAAAAAATCCGCGAAAATAACCTTGCTACATCTGAGTTGTGCAGATGCCCAGGCCCATAAAGAAAGGGACATCTACATTTAAAAAAATAGAAACAATCCGACTG